ACGACGGCCGCGCCAGTGACGTCTTCGGCCCCGAGGTCAGGCCCCGATTGTTGCACGGTTCAAAGATTGAGTTACTGGGGCCTCTGCGCGCCGCATGCGCCTTACACCCGCTACTTCGCGACGAGAGTATCGTCGCTGCTCCTGCAGTGGCCAAGTCGACGTCATCGTCATCGTCGTCGTCGCCCCCCCAAGTCTCGCCTCGGCAACCGGTGGCAACGCCCGCGGGTCTTCCTGCGGAGTCAACCTCTACGAATTCGCCCTCTGCGCTCTCCGCGAAGCGCGACCGTCGCAATCTGGGGGGCCACCCGTTTCCGCGGGCCCCTCCGGAGTTGACCCGGCAGGAGAAATCCGCGCTTCCGCAGGATCCTCCGGAGTCGACCCGGCAGGAGGAATCTCGGCCGTCGCGGGGCCTTGAGCCGACCTAGCACGAGAATCCCCCCGGGACGATCCGGACAAGACCCGGCAGGGAATATCTTGCAGGCGGAGCAGGAGCCCGCTCGCCATGGCCAGGTTCTCGGTTCTAGACAGCGGCTCTGCAGCAAAGACCGCCACCGAGGGTGATCTCACCCTCGCGGTTCCAGTGGGCATTGTCTCATCGACGTCTCCGCCGAATCTTGGGGGGCACCGCCGTCGATAGAGAGACACGCCCCCTCTGCCTTCGCGGCGCGGATTCCGGGGCTCTCCTGATTCGACCTTGACGGGGAAATCCCCGCGCCTGAGCCCCGTAACTATTCGGCGCCCCCCTCCCGTCCACAGGGCTCTTTTTCGTTTTGCGGGGCCCCCCAGGCTTGAGAGGCATTCGTGTTCTCCGCGGCCAGATTGCTCCTGCCCCCCACAGCTGCGTTGCTTTCGTGGTCGGTCAAGTTTCAGGATGGGAAAAAACACACAGACACAATTAATCGTCGATCCCCCGGAAAATATAGGAAAATATGGGAAGTGGGGGGGAAGACAGAAACCCAGAAAATATAGGAAAATATGGTGAATATTTTTATTTGTGTGTATTTATTTGTGTGTCCTGGGGCCCCTTCAAAGTTGGCCAGCGAAGAACTTCGTCGGGCGGGCGTGGTGGAGGAGCTTCCCCTCCCCCGATCCGCCCCTCTCTGACGGCGGCGCGATCGATTGGGACTCCGATCGCCGATTGGCGCGCGATCGCTCGTCCGATCCAGGCCTCGATCATTCAGGAGGGGAAAAAACACACAGACACAATTAATCGTCGATTCCAAAGAAAATATGGGAAAATACGGGAAGTGGGGGGGAAGACAAAAACCCAGAAAATATAGGAAAATGTGGGGAATCCTTTTATTTGTGTGTATTTATTTGTGCGTCTCCGGGCCCCTTCAATCATCGCCTGACCGATCCACTTCCCGTCGCCAGCGTGTCCCCGCCAGGTCCCGAAGACGCTGCTCAGGCTCGTCCTTGTAACGCACCTGAGACAGAAGGGAGGGGGCAAAGGGCCGATCTCGATCATCCACAGCGTTCGATGCCGCGCCCTACCAGCGCGCCTCCTACCCGTGATGGCATGCCTCCGGCGCCTCCGGCGCCGCGTGCTGCCGTCTCTCAACGGGCCGCAAGGACTCCGCACGCGGCAAGACGGTCGGGCGCTCGCGCAGCGCGGCGCGACCCCGCTGGCAGGCCCCAGCCCTTTGAATCGTGATCAAACAACATACATCACGCATGATTTCTTTAATTACCCCCTCAATATATTAAGGTCATTGCTTTCCAAGTGCGATTACACATTGTCTTACACTCCTTTTCAATGAATGTCCAAAACCGGTTAAAATACGATGACCCCCTCCTGGATCCCGACTGCCATTCATTCGCATCCGAAGAACTATGTTTTATTTGCCCCCCCTGGAACAAATCCATGGATGCCAATCGATGCCACTTGTATACACCTCGGTACCAGGGAGAATGCCGATGTGACATTGTAGCTTGGTGTAGCCCCTTATGTCTAGCCTGGAGGGCGCGCTGGCCCTCGTTGTAACCTGGTGTAGCCCCGCTTGCGTGGCCCAGAGGGGGGACGGCCTTCATCGTATCCTGGTGTAGCCCCGCAAATTTGGCCCAGAGGGCGGTGCGACCTTCGCTGTAACCTGGTGTAGCATTGGTGCGGCCTCGAACTGAGCGGCTTGCTGAGGGCCTTTCTGGCCTGCAGGCCAATCCGGCCTTCGTCGTAACCTGGTCTAGCCCCTCTCCTGTCCTGTTGCATAATATTTTCATCACACGTCGCCGGTCTGATGAGGCCATCTTGAGCCAATTTGGACCATATTGCGCCATCTTGGAGGCCATCTCAAAGCACTTATGGCCCTCTCGGCACCAGAGGGCGTGCGCAAGGGATGGTACCCAAGTGCGGTCTCTTTCCACGCCAGGCTCGGGCGTGTCAGGTGTGGCTTGTTCACAACCCAGACAGGGTGCGCGGTGCGCAGGGAGTGGTTCCTGAGCGCAGTCTCTATCCACGCTGGGGTCGCAAGGCGTGGCAGGCGTGGCCTGACGCCAAGAGGTGGTGCGCAGGAATCTGCCCCTGCACGCAGGGCACAGGGCGGTCGCGGGGACGTCTCCAGCGATCCAGTTTGCCCCGCCTCTCTTTGGCTTTCTACAGGCGCACTACAGCGCTGGGGAAAACCATCTTTTAATTGTCTCCCCAAAATAATTGGTTAAACAGTCGTTAGACATGTGGTTGGGCAAATATCAGACGACTCTGCACGCTCATGTTGTTCGCTTGGCCCTCGCGCTTTCCGAAGTCCGCTGCGGCCGCGTCGGGATGGGGGCCCAGCTGCCTCTGCGCGCGGGCCGTTGTTATTCGTGTTTGCGAGGCGTCCTCTCCGAGGGCTCAAGAGACAGCAGTGTCGTGGACAATGCGTTTACATCCTGCATGTTACCAACATTGTGGCGGGTCATGGTGCGCGTAAAAAAGCGACAACCCAGTGTTTTCATGACGACTATGCTTCGCCAGTAATCGTTTATGCCACACTGTTATGCGGGCGTTTCTTTGCCGCAGACACCAAGACATGTCTTCGATGTTTCAGGATACGTACTGCGCGACACTTTGAATTCTATGATTTCTAGAACAATCTATCATGCTTAATGTTGAGCGGGGTGCCTGCCTCCGTCTGGCATGTAAGCATTTCACGAATTATCCAAATGGTCTACTCGTTCTCGCTGGCGTCGACACCTGCGCCGCTGACGCCGTTTGGCCGTCCGCAGTGCTACCCGCCACATTTGCCAGTCTTGTTTGCTCATCCTTCTTGCTCCCCATCCCTTGGCTTCCCTGCGCGCCCGAGGCGATTTTAAGGGCGTGCGCCAGGGGGGGCTAACGGCCCCTGGTAAGGGTTATGGGTACTTGGCAGGTCCTTTCTCGCTTTCCTTGCCGCTAGGGGCATTACAGAGCGGTGAGTTTGAGAAGTGAGATGTGGCCCGCACCTCTAACCCGAAGCTCTTGGCCGTCGGCATCGTCATGGGACGTGCCTTCGGGCGAGATTCGAAACGGGTGGTGCGTGTGAATTCCCTTTCCCTCCTACTCTTCCTCTTCTCTACCGCTGCCCTTCTCGGCGCAGGTACCGGAGACACAGGACTGAACAGCTTAGATGGATCGTCTTCGGTCGGTTTGGCTCTTCGGTCCTTCCCCTCCGCTCGCAAAGTTAGGCTTCGGCCTTCTTTGCGAGTGGCAAATGTGCATGGAACAATGTGAGTTCGCGTGGTGCGCTATGCGGGGTGCTACCTGTTCTCTGGAATTTCCCGCCGAGAACCCCAACGCCTGGGCAGACACGCCGCGCGGCCACCCGCGGAGGGTCGGCACAACTCCATTGACGCAGTGGCACGAGGACCTCTCTCGTGCAGGTCGGAGGCCCGGGCGGGCGGATGTGGATTTCGACGCCGGCGCCAGTGACAATGATGATGGCGATGGCGGCGGCGATGGTGATGATGACGACGGCGACGGCACTGGTGATGACTTTGACGGCGATGCTGATGACCTGATGACGATGGCAATGATGACGATGACGATGACGATGACGACGCCGATTGCGCCGGATGAGGACGCTGAGGAAGTGCGCGCGCACAGAACTTCGGACAGATGTACCACCGCCTTGAAACATGGGGGCGCGTCTTGTGTTCACATACTCCAAATCTCATGATAAAGGGGGGGGGTCAAAAAAGTGTTTGACAGCCCGAAGTAGACCCCCCCCCAGACAGGCAACAAAGGGTCCAAAATCGAGACCCCCCCACAAATGTGTTTGACGAAGCCCGTGAGACCCCCCCCCCAGAAGCAGAACCCCCCCCCTATTGTTATGAGATCCGGAGTACCACCGCCTTGAAATATGAGGGCGCGTCCGCTGCGGCACGCCTGCGCACGTATAGCCCACACGGCATCAAGAATACATGCACGGAGTCGTGGGCAGGGATTCGCAGGGGCAGAGCAGGCCTTCTCCTCCTCCTCCTCCTCCACCTCCTCCTCATCATTATCCCTCCCGCTCGTCCTCCTCCTCCTCCTCCTCCTCCTCCTCCTCCTCCTCCTCCTCCTCCTCCCCCTCCCCCTCCTCCCTCTCCTCCTCCCCATCAGCATCCTGCCCTCCCCTCGCGATACGGGGCTGGGGTTGATAAGCGGCTTGGCTTGCATGGTACGAGTTGAAAGCTTCACGATCATGCGGCATCTGTGCAGTTCCAGTGCGCGGAGGGGAGGCGGTAAGTCCAGCCTCGGAATGGGAAGGTGTATGGTCAGATACGTTGCAGGCGTGGGGATATTTGTGCGCACTGGCAAACGTCACGGGGCGGCCACGAGGCGGCGACTGGACGAACAACCAGAAACGCCAGCCATCGCATAAGGCGGCAACGAGTTGGCTACCCACGCACATCGGCCGAACATATTGAACAGCCAGCCACCGTACACGAAGGCGACGAGGGAGCCACTGGAGCCCACATGTCCAAAACCCGGAACCACCAGCAACATATTTAGAAGGCACGTGATATTCGTAATTGCAAGCAGTGCTTGGGGAAAACATCAGCAGGAACTGCTCGTGGAGATACGCTCCCCGTCCATCACGTGCCATCCGTTCCTGTGCTTCATGAATTTGGTTTTCCCGCGCTTCATCCGGGAGATGGCGTTCGACGCCTTGGGCCAGGACCTGCCCCAGACTGGCGACATCATCTTCAGCGACACCGACGCCTGCAGCGTCATGCGCACCGTGGTGCGAGGCGTTTTCCAGTACAGGCCGCCGAGAACGTGCCAGGAGCCAGACCGGGGCCCCACTGGCAGCTCCGCGCGTCGGCTGGTGGGCCCGGGGCGTCCCCCCCCCCCCACCCATGGCGCTGTCACCTCGCGGGCACGTTGGCGTTGCGCACAATCGGGGTGGCGCGGGGGGGGCGGCCTTCTGAGACAGCGGCGTGCTTCTGACAGGGCAGGGGCCGTCGTCGAAGGGTTCGGAGGTTTCCAAGGAGGCTTCTGACAAGCCGGGAGGGCTTCTAAGACGGCTGCTACCTTCTGAGGAGCTCTCCCCTCGCGCTACCCCCGAGAACGCGCACCAGTATGATCGGGGCCCGCTTTCGATTCCTGTGCTTCAGATCGACGGTGGTCCTTCATAGATCTCCGGGGGTCCACCATTCCTCCCCCCCTTCCTTCCTTCTTTCCTTCGTTTTTTTGTTCATGCCTCCTTCTCTTCCTTGCCCATTGCTCCTGGCTCATTGGCTCCTCGGCCTCCCTCGCGCCCCAGTCCTGGCTTTTGCCCTCCCCCTGTGAAGTTCTCCTGGATGTTCGGGTACAGCAGGTTCGTGTTGTATCGACGCGGCGGCGACCCCGGCGCGGCGGTGAAGTTTGAGCGTCGCTGGTCGATCCGAGAGCCGCCGTGGATTCAAGGTTGAACGACCCACGTGGTGTCAGAAACCGACTCCGAAGTCGTCATGACACGATCTTGCAGTGTGTGACTGCTGCGTGCGCGCGCCGCCTCCTCCTTTTGAGGACCTCACTGCAGACAGCTCGCATATTTGATCTCGGTGAGGGGAACGGCGCTAGGATGCACATTTGACGAGCGGTGGTCGCCGGGAGTTTTGGGATCTCGCTGCTTCCGGGTCGCGTTTTCAGGGGCCCCAGTTGAACGCCGCCAGTGGTCCAGAGTCGGCCAGCCTGGAAAGATTTGGGGATCTGGAAGCTGCCGATTCGTTCCAGGCTGAGCTGTCCACGCGGTGTCAGAAGCCAGCGCCGAACCCGTGTGTGTGTGTGTGTGTGTGTGTTTGTGTTTGTGGCGCGCGGGGCGTCGCGGCGGCGCCTCGCGGCGCGCCGGGAGCGCCCCTGACTGATCCGGCAGCGTTTCCCCCTTCTTTTTTCCCAACCAGCCTGTGTTGTTGGGTCCTCGTTTTGAAGAGACGGTGGCCCGCGTCTCCTCTCCTCTCCTCCTCCTCCTCCTCCCCCTCCTCCTCCGCACACCCATTTCGGCACACCCCTCACACCTTTCGTGGCCCCATAGGGAGCTCCGCCGAAGGTCCCAGTGGGTGTGCCAACATGCGTCCCGCACACCCATTTCGGCATACCCCTCACACGTTTCGTGGCCCCATCGGGAGCCCCACCGAATGTCCCAGTGGGTGTGCCCGCATGCGTCCCGCACACCCATTTCGGCACACCCCTCACACGCTTCGTGGCCCCATAGGGAGCCCCACCGAAGGTCCCAGTGGTTGTGCCCGCATGCGTCCCGCACGCCCATTTCGGGACACCCCTCACACGTTTCGTGGCCACATAGGGAGCCCCACCGAAGGTGCCAGTGGGTGTGCCCGCATGCGTCTCGCACGCCCATTTCGGCACACCCCTCACACGTTTCGTGGCCACATAGGGAGCGCCACCGAAGGTCCCAGTGGGTGTGCCCGCATGCGTCCTGCACATTCATTTTTGCACACCATTCACACGTTTCGTGGCCCCATAGGGCGCTCCACCGAAGGTCCCAGTGGGTGTGCCCGCATGCGTTCCGCACACCCATTTCGGCACACCCTTCACACGTTTCGTGGCCCCATGGGGAGCTCCGCCGAAGGTCCCAGTGGGTGTGCCCGCATGCGTCCCGCACACCAATTTCGGCACACCCCTCACACGTTTCGTGGCCACATACGGAGCCCCACCGAAGGTCCGAGTGGGTGTGCCCGCATTCGTCCCGCATACCCATTTCGGCACACCATTCACGCGTTTCGTGGCCCCATAGGGAACTCCACCGAAGGTCCCCGTGGCGCAGTCCGCACGCGTCTCCCCCACCCAGTACACCTCCGTCGGAGGCCGTCGGAGTTCCGCGCCTCCCTCGCCCGTCGTCGCTCTGCCCAGCGGCAAGAGCCTTGCCCGCTATCAGCCAGCCAGCTAGCTCTCTTTGCTGCGCGCAGCGGGCGACCCGCGCGCGTCGCTGGGACCCCTCCGGGGCGACCTGCGCGCGTCGCTGGGACTCCGCGCTGCGCTGCGCCCGCAGCTCTGGACTTTTGAGTGCGCGGGCAAAGAGGGAGTAAAAGAAGGGGAGGAAGCGGGCGCGATCCTCGCGGTGGCGTCGCGGCGCGCGGGCGATGCCGTCGGGGAGTCCCGGGGAAGGTCCTTGCGGCGGCCACGCCCAGCGTCACGAGTACTCAGAGGCAGTCATGCACAAACTCTGAGCATTCATATACAATTGCACCATGTATTGGCATACTCACATTCATGCACGTAGACTCGCTCGCACGCAGATTCATTCACAGTCAGACGCACTCGCGCTCAGATTCACCCGCGCTCAGTCTCCCTACGTACTCAGATCAATCGTTTTCGTTCGCGTTGTGTACCACGCCACTCATTTCGGCACACCACTAGCACGGTTCGTTGCCCCATAGGGATCACCACCGAAAAAGGGAATCACAATTGCGGTACTCACACCTGCATATGGTTGGGTCCTTCGTCTGGCCAAGTTTGAAACATTGGGCAAACATGAGCGTCAAAACTGCTGCGCTCTTCTCTGCAACACGCTCCCTGCTCCTCCTCCTCCTCCTCCTCCTCCTCCTACTCTGTGCCACAGGGCGACCTGCGGATGATAAGACAGAAAGCGTATGTTGCGTGCGCGCGCCGCTTGCTTCTTTCCAGGACCTCATCAAGTTCATGCCCAAGCACAAGCAGCCTCGCCACAGCCTGTCTTCAGGGCAGCCCCGCACCAGCAGGAATAGTTCCACGCCCATGCGGAGCAGCTTCACGCCCTCTGAGAGGTTCATGCCTCGCTTGAGCGCCCTGAGCAGGGGCATCACCTGGAGCGCATCTTTTGGCGGTGAGAAAGCAGCCGACATCGAGATCGACATGACCCACGGGTGGTGGCTCAGCGAGATCGCCCTGTGGACCCCGTGGGAGAATGTCGGCACCCTGGAGACGATCGAGGACGGCGTCCTGCTGCTGCTGCCGAGCGAGCGGCTTGTGGACATGATGCAGCGCCACAACAACCACGCCCTGCGCTCCACGTTGTGCACCTACGCGAGCTGGTTCCTCAGGACAGGCCCCACTTTTAGCCGATCCATCTCATTCGACCTCGGTCCCGGCTGTCCCGAACCAATCCGACTCCCGTATATCCCGACCGCCCGATGCGGCCCGATGCTTGCACGGCGCTGTTTACAGTCGATTCCGTGCCGATGCGGCCCGAGACCCGACGCACTTCCTGTTGCGATCCGAGGTTCCGATCCGATGCTGGCCGATCTTGCAGGACAGTCAACGAGCTGCCGCGGGTCGAGCTCTCGGACATCTTCGTGCACCCGCAGGCCTGGCGCGAGGACTAGGGGGCCACATGCGAACCCTACCCCTACCACCCACGATTTCTCAAGGGGGAGGGTGTGGTTCACTTCGCTCGGGAGCTCCCGAACGCAGCGAACCCCCCCCCCGCCTCAGAAGTCGTGGGGGTGTAGGGGCATAGGGTTCGCCTTGAGGCCCCCTGAGGACGTCGCCGGGGCCGTTGGCAACGTCGGCAGGGAGTCGGAGGCCACGGAGCCCAGCAGGGACAGCGAGGCTAGCTAGGGAGAGCCAGAGAGCCGCCTCGCCCGGCGATGGGGCAGGACGCGGGGGGCGGAGGTGGGCGGGGGCGGCGGACGAGGAGAGGAGGGGAGAGCGCTTTCGGGCTCGAGGTTCGAAGTTTCCGGACACGCTCGTCGGCTCTCGGCGATCTCCCGGCCCCAGAGGTGCCTGGCCATCGGCTGCGCCTCTCCGCGGGCGTTCCTGGTGTGCCTGGATCCTCCGGCACGGCCGCCAGAGGGCCGAGGCACGACCGGAAAGCCAGGGGGCAGCGCTCTCAGGGAGGAGGGCTGGGGGAGGGCAAGGGGCAGGCGGCAGAGGGGACGGATAGGCGCGGCGGAGGAGGAGGCGAATACATGGGGGAGGGCGGCGAGCGCAAGGAGGCAATGGGAGGACGAGCACGAAGAGCGAGCCGAGCTGGCACGCACGACTTCACTCACCGCACACGCACACACATACACGTGCGCACACACACATGCTTACACGCATACACGCTTTAGCGTCGCGGCCCCGCCCGCGCGCAGCGACGGCGCATCGAGAGGTCGGAGAAGAAGGCGCGCTTGAGCGTCTAAAGGCCGAGCCTTCAAGCAAGCAAGCACACACAAGCACACACACACACACACACACACGCACACGCACACGCACACTTTCACGTTTCGCGCCAGCGGCCCGATGCGATCCAATCGAGCGGCCCAGTGGAAGGTCACCTCGGCTGGCATCCTGCTGCATGCCGCTGCGGCCCTCGGAGGACGCGCGCGCCCGTTCTCCCCCGCCGGCGGCGTGGCACCACGCTCTCGCGGTACAGATGCACTCGGGCAAAATAAGCACTCCGCTTAGTAAACGCACATCATGGAGGCCTCCTAGATGGGATCCGAGCAGACGGTGTCGGAGGATCGCGCCGCATTACCAATGCATCGGCGGCGCATCGCCGATGCGTCGGTACTGTATCGGCGACGTCGGCGATGCATCGGCGCCGTCGGCGCGGTGGAGAAAATTGGCCTCCACATCGAGCCGCATCGGCGATGTATCGGCGACGAGCACGCGAGTTTTAAGTCG